TTTGATCCAGCTATATCACTCCTAGGTATATTTCCAAAAGAACTAGACCAGGGCCGGGGATTTAGCTCAGTGGTGCCGCCACCTGCCTCACAAGCTCAAGGTCCCAAGTTCGAGCCCATGTACCAAAAAAAAAAAAAGAATAGAAGCAAAAGTACTAAAGACATCATACTATAATGATACATTCATATCCATGTTTACAGTAAGACAATTCACAATAAGAGGATATTGCCTATAGATGCCCATCAACAAATAAATACAGAAAATGAAGAATGAAATCATGTACTTTGTAGGAAAATGGATAGTACTGGAGAAACTATCACATTTTCTCTTATATGAGAAACCTAAAAAATAATCAATTATTATAATTAATGAAAGGATGACAGGAAAATAGAAGATAGACTTCTGAAGATAAGGAAGAGAATCAGGACATGGAATTAAAAATGACCAAGAAAAAACAAACAAACAGATCAAGATATGTTATATGCAGGGCCAGGAATTTAGCTCAGTGGCACTACACCTGCCTTGCAAACACAAGGTCCTAAGTTCAATCTCTACTACTGGGAAAAACAAAAACAAAAAACAAAGGAAAAAAATTGGGGCCGGGGATTTAGCTCAGAGGCACCACACCTGCCTTGAAAGCACAAGGTCTGGAGTTTGATCCCCAGTACCAGAAAAAACAACAACAAAAATATGTTATGAGCATGTACCAATTCCCTAAAATGCAACTCATTATTCTGATCTTCTACACACTAAAAAATATCATAAAATATTTTCCTGAAAATTAAGAGCTGAAAAAGAGCATTCTGACAGGAAGGAAATAGCCTGTGCAAAGGTCTTGAGGAATGAATTGGTTGGCAGTCAGTAAGAAATGGGGAGAGGGGCCGTAGATTTAGCTCAGTGGTTCTGCCACATATCTCAAAAGCGAAAGGTCCCAAGTTCAATCCCTGGTACCAAAAAAAAAAAAAAAAAAAAAAAAAAAAAAGAAATGGGGAGATGAAAGAAAGATGGAAGATAGTGAGAGACCACAAAGAATCATGATGACTACAGTTAAAAGACAGATTTTAAATATAAGTGTTATAGGAAACCACTGGAGATTTTGTTTAATATGCTGATATCAGCCAGGTATGGTGGAACATGCCTATAATCCCAGCACTTGGGAGGCTGAGACAGGAGGAATGCCAAAAGTTTGACATCATCCTAGACTATAGTGAGTTCAAGGCTAGCCTGAACTACATAGTGAGACCCTATCTCAAAAAAAGGGAAGAAAGTCATGTATCCCTCATGCTATAAAGAAGTCACTTGACTATAGTGCAAAGAACAGAATAGAAGTCAGTCAAGGAGATAGCCAGGAGGCTGAGATTTTTATGGGGAAGATGGATAGCTCCAGAATCAGATTATCCTGTTCCTTAATTTTTACCTTTCCTTCTTTTCCTCACTGAAGCTATATTACATGGACGGCTGCATATATGTGAGGGGAAAAAACATATGATGTTCCTCTTTGACAAAAAAGGTATTTTTCAACATTTTTAGAAATACAAAAATCCCAACAAATCTAGACTGTATAAAGAACTCTTACAAATTCCATTAGAAAAATGAGTTAAAGTATTAAATAGATATTTCACCCCCCAAAAAGAAATACAGAGCCAAAAAACATATAAAGCAAACCAAAACACCATGAAAGGCTGGTAATATCCACTGCTGGTAAGGACATAGGGAAACTACACTGTTTATATACTGGTACTTTTAAAGGGGAATTTAGGACTGTCTATTAACATTTATTTGGGGCCAGGGATTTAGCCCAGTGGTGCTGCCACCTGCCCCGCAAGCGAAGGTCCCAAATTTGATCCCTGGTACAGAGAGGGGGGGAGATAGAGTTTTTCTAACTGTACTGTATCCCTAAAATGTACCAATAAACTCAAAGCTGTAAAAGAAAGAGAGAGAGGGAGGGAGGGAGGGAGAGAGGGAGAGAGGGAGGAAGAGAGGGAGAGAGGGAGAGAGGGAGAGAGGGAGAGAGGGAGAGAGAGAGGGAGGGAGGGAGGAAGAGAAAGGGAGAAACAAATAATGTCAATCAGTAAATTGTTACACATATGAGCTATATAAATGCTATACTGCAACGAGTAGATCTGCATATGCCAATATTGAAAGATGTCCAAAAAAGTTGCAATGCCACAAATAGTAAACAAAACCACCTTCATGTATATCTACATGCATGTGAATACAACAAAAGTATATATACATCAAATAGGACTCAGAGGGGGAAAAGTGTTAGTCATAAGAACTTTTTGCTTCATTTGGTTTGTTTTGATTTTGGTCAATGAACATTAAGCTTATTTGCATATCCTTAGAAAATATCAAAATGAAAACCTACATTATAGTGACCAGCGTCATACAAAGAAGTGCTTTATGGTTTGAGTAATAAACAAAGAGTGAAGGCATCCCTGGTCCTTAACAGCAGTTTACACACAGCAGGTAATCAAAACATGCTGGTTAATGTGAAATAGGAAGAAAAGGGCTAAAGGTGTAGGGAAAGTGGGAAGGGTAGGAGAAAGGTAATAAGGGAAAGAAAAAAATATGAGAAAATGAAAAAATGGAAATAAAGTGTTTGTGAAGGGGGAGGGGAGGAGGGGGTGAAGGGAGGGCAGGGACAAGGGGAAAAAATTAGAACCAAGACCTGTTATGTAAAGGTACAAGATCCCAATAATGAATGTTACTGTACTGTATACCTAAAAAGTACCAGTAAACTCAATAAAAAGAAAAAAAAATAGTTTAACAGTCAAATTGAGGGTAAAATAAAGGAAAAAGTTGTGTCATGAGAACATTAATTAAAGAAAAGCAGGACAGAGTTCAAAGCAGGGAAAATTAACAGAGATTGAGAGAGACATTACACATCATAAAATAGTCTGCTAGGAAGATGTATAAAGACCTAAATATATATCAAATAACAGCTGCAACATATGAGAAACAAGAACTGATAGACCTGAAAGAAGAAATGACAAATCTCTAACTAAATTGGGGATGTCAATGTCTTCCTCTCAACAACTGACAAAACAACTAGATAGATCATCAAGGACCGAGAGAAACTAAACCAGCAGTACATAACTGAGATTTATAGACTATTCCATAAGCTCAGGTGACACATTATTTTCTCTCACTGATGGAAAATTCATGGGGATAGACCAGATCCATAAGAAAATCTCAATGAATTTAAAAGAATTGAATTCATACAGAATATGTTCATTCTCTGGCCTCAGTGGAGTTAAACTAGAAATTAAAATGAAAAAGAGCTGCAAATCTCCAAAAACATGGAGACTAAACAATATTATACTATGTGATCCATGGGTAAAAGGGGAGGTAGTAAAGAAAGTTTGAAAAATATGTGGAACTAAATAAAAACCAAAATGCAACAAATACGTTAAAATTTGTGAGGCACAGTTAAAATAATACTGGAAGGGAAATTTACGGCATTCAAAGTTTATGTTGAAAGAGAAGTCTCAAATCAAAAATGTAAGCTCCCACCTCAACTTAGGAAAAGAAAAGCAAAATAAACTCAAAGTCAGCAGGAAAAGGAAATGATGATGATGATGATGATGATGATGATGAT